TCTGAAAGGTGCTATAAGATCCCTTTGCATACTGATATTCCAGACTAACATGGCTATGTCTCTGAATTTTAAAACCTAAAATATTATTAACTAAAACAGCAATACAAATAAACATAGCCTCCAGCTGTCCCAATTTAGAAGGCATTCTCAATTAATCCTCTCTTGTTCCATTTTTCAGCTGCTTTGAAAATGTCCCACCTTCTCTTTCCTTTCACTTTCCTCCTTTGTCCTCAGCTTACTTCAGTTGCTGCAAACTGAGTTTAAAGTGCAAAAGTAGTTAGCACTAAATTAATTCAGGAGGAGAGAAAGGAGATGAGGGGGAATAGTGTTGTCCTTCCCAGTAAGGTCCGTCAAAAGCAATCTGCTGCTGCCTCTCCTAACTGATGTGTTTTTCCTCATTAATTATGATGTATAATTCCTCATTAACCACTGCCATCTTGACCACATTCTGATGTGGCTTGGCCACACATGTCCCAGTTTTCATCTGTTAAATGTTGGAGGGTGTGTATCTGCTTTCCCCCATGTATCCTTGTTTGCACAGCGTTCTGTTCCCCTACCCCCATTAAGTTAGTAGTGGCCAGATATAGTTTTATGGAATTTAAATTAAGAGAATGTATGTGTGTACCCATTTTGTTATTTTCAATAAATTTCACTTTCCCACATTTCCAACAACTTATGCTAAGTGGGGAACTTGCAGTCTCTGTTTTGGAAAACAATGTATAGATATGGAATGCCACAGCTGACAGGGTCATTCTTGTCTCCTTTTGGGGTTTCCCAGAATAATAATAATAATAATAATAATAATAATAATAATAATAATAAAAATATCCCGTCTCTCTGCGTAACACAACTGGGGCAGTTTACAACATTAAAATATACATTTTATATCCCACAATCCCACCCCATTTAAAATACTATTAAACAATTGACAATTAAAACACACTTAAAATAATAACACCAATAAACAATAACTGCAACAGAATCAGAGATTCTGATTTTGGTGTCCGGTATATCTATTTAGGAAAGGCCTGCTGGAAGAGATCTGTCTTAACAGCTTTTTAAGACTACGTGTGAAAGGGATCTAGGAGTCCAGGTAGACCGCAAGTTGAACATGAG